AAAAAAACTTCCTCTGGATGTCGGCGGTAAGAGAAGAACCATCCAAGCTGATTGGATAAAGCGACAGGAGAGCCTGCCTACCAAAGTTTGGTATTGTCCAATAACGGTAACAAATTGAATGGCAGCAGATGCTGTAAGAAACCACATATCATCTTTCAAAAATGAAATCCTAGATTCTGACAAATCAGATGTGATAGCATCTACCATTAATATTTTGCTTCTCCAGTAGCTCTTGTTTCCGTCACAGCTATATGTCCCGACCTTAAACTATAATACTACAATGTGATTGGCTGACCTGTTTTGCTTATGTCTCGTATTGAAGCCGTACAAGGCGGATGGATGTGTATTTGTGAAATGACCAGTACCACACAATTTCAGCTTGTAGGGAAGGTTAGCTGTCTGCTTGTTCTATAGATTTCAGTACCTGAACATCCTTAGATACGTTATGAAAATGTTGGTAATTAATTAAACCCCACAAGGACAACAGAACACAGCTAAAGTCACTTTTTATTTACATTTTATATTTAGCTTCATAACTTCATCACTTTTCCTGATTTTTTTTTACTTCTTAAAGACTTAAACTTTCTGATTTTCTTGGCTTTATGTTATAAATAATATATATACCCCTGAGCATCACATATGCATCACAGTGGGTCCTGGAGACCAGGAATTTAAGAACAGATAATGGTGACAGCAGTCCTCTTTGTAGACGGTGTGACTGAGGAAGAAAACTAAAAAAAAACTGAAGTCGAAACAGACTAAAATCTGCAGATAACAGATTTTATACAACCTAGAGATTAGTAATTGACAACAAAACTGACTTGTGCACCTCATAAGGCTGTGGATAATTAGAATCTTTCTAAAGTTTTAATTATGTTCAGCTATAGGTATGACAGCATTTCTTTGATTCATTCTGTAAAAGAAAACAAAAAAGGCCCATATTTAGGCCAATAACATCTTAGATGCTTGTCTTTAAAGGGAGACATAGGACAGAGAGACAACCAGGTCTCCGCTTTCTTCTCATTATGGGGATCCCAGTCCAGCTGGGAAAAAGAAATATCCCAAGCGAGTCCTGATCTGTTTGACTGAGCCTGGTAGACCTCAATAGGACACGACGCTTGTTATTCAGAAATTCTTTTCCCTCATCGTACAGAGTTCATAATTTTGTCACAGTCTGCTCAGTGATTCAAAGCGTCGGAGCAGAACGGACCCCTCCATGTCCAGGATGTATTTTTAGATAAGTCAACGGGAGCTGCTTCATGAATAGTCAAAGCCTGCAGCACATCTCAGGATGCAGTCTGCCCACCAACGAAGTAACAATGTTTGTCATGTGATTTTGATCAAACCCACCAGACGAAATTAACACAGCGATTTCTCCAATCTGCAAAAACAGGCTGCAATCTATTCATACGTCCTTATCAATACTTGGTTGAAATAAGCAGTAGTAAGATAAATGTGGCATCATTCTGGCTGGATTTCTGCTTATTCATAAATGGAATGTAAATCCATAACCCTGATTTCAAGTCAAAAACCAGAAATTTTCTGTTGTGGTTTTCCAGAATCTAAATTTTAGCCACATTCCAAAGTCGATTTTGATCCTCAATGAAGTCATTGTCCTTCTGGAAGTAGGGTTGGGCATAGGGAATCAATCTGAACTGGTTCTAACCTTTCAATTCCCCTGGAATCATTCAATTTTTTTATTTCTGATTCCTAGTTCAATGTCTAGTCCACCGAACAGAAATGGCAACTGTCTTATATCAGTGCAAAAGAATCTACAGGAACGTGTGGACAACTACTCGCTTGTCACAATGCACGTTAGTTTTTCGAAAGCGTAGGCTGAGATTAATTAAGGAAACAACCAGTCGGCTACATACAACACTGGCAACAGGATTCTATAATGCAAAGGCCAGTGCAAGGCTAACATATTTAATCATCAGCCTCCCCTTTAACTGGATGCACTGCTATTTCAAGGTAGGTTTTCCTGGGAGAATTTGTTTCTCTAAAATCGTGGCACAGCTTCTGCAGGTAGAACAGAACCTTTTCTATAATTTCCTCATCTTTCTTTATGTCTTAACAGATTCTTGCCTTGTGTCAGATCCATTCTGGATAGAATGAAAAGCTATTTTTGTCTTTTTTAGTTCATTTGGAATTGGTTGATAAAACCAACCAACTGAATGCCTGAAAATTAAACCTGAGGAACAGGAAATGATGCAGAGCATATATACTCTAAGAGGATGCCTTCATGCTCCTACTCAACCTAGCAACGACCTGCAGTCAGACTCAGGGAAATAAAATAATAATTGTCTTATATATGGCATAAGTACCTGCAGCATCAGAAACTTGAGATACGTAAATTTTTATGAGGTTTTAAAAAAATAAAGCTCCACGGGAAAATGCAACTCTGGGAAAAGAAAATTTACAAGATTATATTAGAGTTTGATATTTATATTCTAGTTGAAAACAAATTATAGTAACGTTCACACAAGGTTTAAGGATTAAGGAATTACATTTCATTGAGATGTTCAGACCATTTCATTCAGGCAGAACTCTGGTTAGCAGTTAATTTATAACACGTAATCTTTTATGATTTTTTTTAAAAAGAATTAGAATTGAGAATCAATTGGAAACTGAATCGAAACAAGGAATCCAAACCGGGTGATAAAGACCTAGAATGTTTTTAAAAACATTTTTACAAATTCTTTCCAAATATTTCTCTATAATATTATGTGTATTTTTATGGTTGCAATTCACAGCCCCAAAAATCAAATATTGCTCTTTAAAACCACAACCATTTTGAGTAAGCTTTTCAGTCAACCAGTGATATAATGTGCAAATTAAGATTATTTATTTAGAAACAACAGTCTACATTACAGCAACATTTACACCCTGACAACGCTGTTATTTTTAAAAGGAAACTTTTTATGATAACATTATACAATATAACAAAAACTTGTTTGTAGATAATATCATGCTCTTAGCCTTAAAAACATCCTATCGTCTACTTCAATGATATTTTTATGATACCATGGGCCAATACGTCCTTTTATCCTTTTATCCGATTCCAACACTTTCACCTGATTCAAAGCCTGCAGTTTGGTTAGCCGGTTGCTCATGGGACACAGCTTGGTATTCTTATAGTACAATGAAGAGAAACAGAAATGGATAAATCAGGACATATCAACCTTCTAGAGTAATCTTACAAAAGCCTCAACCTAAATCCCATTTAAAATTCATGGAATATGCTGAAAATCAAGCCGTCCCCAGAGACAAAACTATTTAATCAACTCCAGCTCTTCCGATTCTGACAGAATGGGTAGTTGAAATGGTCTGGACTGAATCCTACCAGAACTGTGAGCTCATCACTAACATGCAGTGGTACGGGTACAAAATTGTAGGAAATTGAATCAAACATGATTTGATGTGTGAAAGGGAGAAAATCCACAATAAATTCAAGCTTCTGCAGCCAAGTCATTTTTTTTTTTATTCACTCACTAAACTCACTAAAAATCATTTCTATTCAGAAAAAAAAGGTAAATAAGAATAAGAAAATCACCTGACCAGGATGCTGCATAGGTATTGTTAAGCATGAAAATTGGGAGGCACTAGAGGCGACAAGGCTGGAATGTATTTCTATGCATACTGAGGCACTAAATGAACCGGATTAGAAGCTTTGTTTCACAGTTATTGGATTTTTGCTCAGCAGGAAGGGAATTATTCGTAGACGAAGGGGAAAATAAAAACACTAAACCATTCTTGTTCAAGAAAATAACTGAACCTAGTGTAAAAAAAAATAAAAATAAAAATAAATACAGAAAGTTCAGTAAAACTGATAGAAACTGTTTGGAAGAACTAGGTTTAGTAAAAAAAATATTTTTAAGCTATGAGACTGGAGAGTCCCACATAACGTTTAATATAGCCCTGGCTGTGAGCAACAAGATCCAGTTACAAAGATATGATTATAAACAACCATAAACCCCAACTGATTATTTTCTTTGTTGACGTGGTGATCTAATCCTGCTTTTAAAGTGATGGTTTCAAACACATTCAAATTCATGACTCCTAAACTTTAAAATCATTTTGAAAAGGTGCAAAATAAAATTTCCCACTTTAATTCAAACATGTTTTTATGGGGCATTGAGTAAAACAGCCTTGCTGGGCACTGCAGGGTCAGATGGCTGAAAGAGGACTTTCTGTTTTCCCCCACTTTCACTCCTATGAACCTGTGGTTGCTTTAAAAGCTAGAATTCACTGGTTACAGATGCATATAGCCAAAGATAATTAAACAGCAAATACCAGGGTCATGAATATATGGTTTAGTCTAAAAATGGGAAATGGGATATCCTGAGCAAGAAGCATATTTATTTTAAAACAGAGTAATGACATTTCTAAGCATTAATTCTACATTTTAGCTATTAAAAAAATCAATCACTCCAAATAACCCATGAATTGTCACAATATGGGCCGCATATCAGCTCACCTGTTTGTTCAATTCCATTTCTACATAAGAAACAAGAAGTTCAATGACCTGTGATGACAGGATAAGAGTTGCAAACAAGGAGCTAAATATTACTCAAACTGGCAGACTCCTTCCACATCTTGGTAATTAAACCAAATTAAACATGTAAAAAAGTCTGCTGCCACAGATCAGGCTCTGTTAAACCTCCTGGTGGCTGAAAGGGTAAACATATTTGAAATCAAAACAAAGCTATCTTTACCTCCGCCAAGGAGGATATGTTTTTTGTTGAACTTGTGTGTGTTTGTTTGTCTGTCCGTGTACAGGATAACTTAAAAAGTTATAAATGGATTTTAATCTAATTTTTACCAGAGGTATTCCTCATTCCAAGGAGCAATCCATTTAAGTTTGGAAATGATCCAGATCATGGGCCAGTTTTAGCTAAAGGTGTAAATCACAATATGGGGCAAAATGTGCTGCTTGGTGGAGGTCTGCGCTCTCAGAGTGCTTCTAGTTAGAACTAAGCTGCCACACTGTGTTAACTGACCTGAATCTCCTCGAACGCCTCGTCAATGGTGGTAACCTGGTGCTGCTCATGCAGCGCTGGCTCATCACAGAAGAAGCAAACCAGGCTTTTGTCCGTTAGGCAGAAGAGCTTGACTTTCTCGTGGTCCTTGCAGGGATAGGAGCTCCTCTGCGCATTCAGGATTGCGTCTAGCGGGAAGGCCGAGTACCGCTCCACAATGTTGGACAGCTTGAGGCTTGGAGACAAGAGAGGATCAGCGAAGGTCCTGCGGCACTCTGGGCAGTCCCGCGTCCCGTGTGGCTCCTGCCTGCTCCAGTGCTCCGTGATGCACTTCCTGCAGAAGTAGTGCTCGCAGCCAAAGCTGACAGGGTCCTGATAGATGCTGAGGCAGATGGAACAGAGGAGCTCGTCCTTCAGACAGCAAGCCATTTGCAGAGGAAGAGGCTGAGCAGCATTTAAGAGGACAGTGTTCTGAAACGGAGCGCACTTGGTTTAATCTGTGAACCGATGGTTTATCCCCATGCAAGTGCAGACTGAGAAGATCTTCAGAGGTGTTCAAAATAAATTTGTGTTGCTGTGAGAGAAAGGAAACAAGGAAATCCATTGCATTAAATATTTTATCAGAGATCAAACCAATGTCTTAAAAAAAAATAGTAATAAGAAGTAACGCTTTAACTAAATGGACTTTGATAAGAACTCATTAAATATTAAATTCTTTTTATGAGCTTAAGGTGAGCTGCTACAGATCTAAGTCTAATGTGATGCTGATAATGAAATGTACTTACACAAGAGGCATTAAACTATCAGGAACTCAGATTCACAACTATGAAAAGAAAAGCTAAAGAAGAAAAAAATAAAAAGCTTTTGGCTTCTAAGAGCCAAGTTTCCATTTGTTGTTTTCAAGCTGTTTTTAATTGTTGCATTGCTGAAGTATTTTAAACCCTTAGACCAGGAGTCTTCAACCTTTTCCAGGCTAAGGACCCCCCAAATCGATGGCGTGATGGAGCGGGGACCCCCTAATTATATACATATTATATGAAATAGTGTTATATCGTACTGGTCCTATAGCCACTCTATTACAGACTGAGTAATGTAATGAAAGTAAAATCGCCCTGGGATTATTAAAGTATTTCTGAGTCCTGGTTGATGGGACAGGTGTTGTGAATGAAACGGTGCCCAGCTTGAAAGAGCTCCTGTGTGTCGCTGAATGTGTGCATTGATGACTGAAAGACATCTTCTGCCTCCATTTATCTGTTTAATAGTGGGGAAAAAATGCAGGGGGGGAAATATATATTTTTTAAAAAGCCTAATCAACCAAACTTTTTGCGACCCCCATGCAGTACCTCTGTGGCCCCCCTGTTGAAGACCTCCACCTTAGACTGTTTCATACTTTGTAGCATCTCTACAATGGCAGACACAGATGCGTGTAGTTATAACAAGACTTCTGTTAAAAAATATTTTGTCAAATTCTCTTTGGAAAATCAAGCTCAGCCAGACTGGATGAAGAACATCAGTTACACACACACATAAAATAACACAAAAATCAATTCCTCAAGTCTTTTTAACACATGAAGACACTTTGATCTAAACCAGTCCTCTGTAGCTGCTGGCAGGTCAGCATCTGCCTTTCTCTCAACATGGCTTCTTTTAGGACTGTCTTCTATCAACTCAGACAAGGAAAGAACCCATCTATGGTTTTCCAAGATCCTTATCAAGAAATTTGTTAAGTAATGTTTTCTACCTGACTTATACAGCACAGCCCTTCAAAAACAGAGTGGTTCAAATGATTGCTGATCTGTGGAAGCAGTTGATTTCATTTAGGACAATTTGAATAAAGGGGGGCAAACACACAAAAAAAGTATCTTCTGTCCAACAACTGTTGCTGAAAATGACAGAGCTTTCTTTATAGTCAGCATGGAGCTGTATGTTGAATGGGTTCCATACAGCTTACTCCACAGTTAAGTTTCACTCTGACAGCGTCCCCCTCACCTGCAGCGAAGGTTTTATGGAAAAGCTTTCTCACCATCTACTTCCTCTATCGCTTATTTTCCCGATCGCTTTAATCCTTTACAGCAGCAACAGCAGCAGCCTGCCAGGCGACCAACAGGCAAACAAACACCTGAGGCACTATCCTCTGCTGCTGTCGACCTCCTATCCCCGCTTTAGGAAGCTTTCCTTTTAAATTCCCCCTCATTTGGAGAGTTTCTAGAGCCTGGAGCAAGATATTTTAAATCGTTACATTCAGTTAAAGATACCCCGAGTAAGACTTTACTGTAGAATGGAAAAGTGTTTCATTTATTTAGCCTTATTCGAAATCTAGCACGATCTGTAAACACAACAGAAGGCGAAAAAGCCACAGCAAGGGGATGAATGACACAATAAAAGGCGTTGAATTAATTAATTGACCATTCGTAATTATGGTATATAACCTACCTTAGACACAGATGGTGTGAACTTAACTTAATATGTAAAATTTTACTAAAACAATTAAGAAAAGCGGAGGAAATAACCCCGTAACCTACCGACCTCTCTGCAGGGACATCAGCGGTTTCAATGAGGTTGTCTTTTCAGGAAGAGGAGAAACACACAGCAGCAACAGACGATACCAACTGGGTAGAAAGAGGAGGGGTGTTTGGAGGAAGATAAATATAGTTTTTCCACATCTAAACAACATTGAGTTAGTAATTAAATAACGTGGGATGGACAGGTGATTATAGTTTTTTTTAGGTATCAAAATAATGTACGGTATGGGTTTGAGACGTTCAAATCCAACTGTTGACCCGCTCCTCCTTTTTCTGTAAATAGAATGACCCACAATTCCTCTCTCCTGTTCTCCTGCTGTAGCAGTTTACCTTCTGGAAACTTAGCAAAATGCAACACGAACAAATACAGTTGACAAATTAAATAAATTAATTGGTTGCGTTTCAGTTATGGAGTCTACGCTAATAAAGGGACTGACACAATTCGGTAATGATGTTTCATGAATCGAGTGAAAGAGTCTTGGTGAACGGGTGCGGTGCTTGTCTTCCACCAGCAGATGTCAGCAGTGTCCGCAACATTGAATAAATAAAAACGCATTAAATGGTCAATAACTAAATACACAAAATTTAAATAATGGAGCTATAGAAGAGCATCCCTGCATACTACTATCAGCATCTATCAATACTGTTTGGAAAACCTGCTCATGAGTTACTGCAAAATTTAATCTGCTTTTAGAATTAATACAGTATTTTGTAATTGAATTAAATAAAATTAGAATTATTCCCAGTTTACTATGTACTATTTTCCTTAAATAATTAGAGCTAAATTTATTTTTTAATGTTTGTTTTATTAAATTTTATTTTATATTTAAGGCAGAATAAACTAATGTTTAAGTTAAATTAAAATTTTGAGTGCTTTGAAGATATCACTAATATGCTTCAAAAAGTAGTCTATATGGCATATAGATTTTTCTCTAATTAGCTGAATTTAGCTTAAGCAATATTTCAACATTCTTAAATTATATTACTGCGTGAAAAGTTAATACACCTTGCAAAAATATTCTTACACTTTTTATATATTTGACATTGTATTTTTAATACAATAAAATATTAATGTGTCTTCACTGGGACTAAATACAATGAAATGGTGCATATGCACAATGGTGCATATTTTTCATGTTAAAAAAATTTTTTTTAATGCTTTTTAGCACTGGGAAAAAAAGAAAAAAAAAACTTTGTAAAGTACAACATGCATGCACAGCCCCCTGATAATTCATAGGACAACCTTTTAGATTCTTTGCCTTGTCTCTATGAGACTACATGGAAAAACTGAAAACCTTTGTCACTTCTTTCCCTGTAATAGTTAAACTCCAGCCAGACTTAATAGAGAACATCTTTAAACCCCAATTTTGAAGTCTTTCCACACATTCTACACTGGATTTACTGCAAGTCTGAAGTTTGACAGGGCCATCCTTATAAAGCATAAAAAAATTAATATTGAGTCTAATAGCTGTTATTGCCCTACTCAGGGTGAAGCTCTGCCCAAGCATTTTGAGGATTCAAAGGGGTTTCCTTCCAGGATTGTTCTGCGTTTAATTAATCCCATCTTCTAATCAACTCAGAACCAGAAAAGAATCCCAACAGCACGCCTTTGAGTTCTTCAAAGGCTTGGATTATGTTTTACAGGCAAAAAAAAAAATAATGTTAACATTTTTATTTAAGCCCTTTGCCGAGTCCACAAAGACAATTAGGATGACCTACCACTTAAAAGCATAGGGTTAAGGGTTCAGTGTTACAAGGAGTGAAATTGAATCAGCAGTAATGTTTTTTTTTTTTTTTACATTTCTCAATCAGTTGACTTTATTTAATAACCTTCTATCCTGAAATACTGAAAAGGGCTCATAAAGATTTCCTCACAATAAACTCTTTATGCTAGTATATATTTTTTTTTCCACATTGGTTCATAAATAAATCAACTCACTTGAATGCCCTTTTATTTTGTTAACACTGTACAAATCAGAAACAAATTTAATATACAAATTTGTAAAAAAAAAAAAAACTTTTATGTACAGTATGCTGTATATACATATAAACATAAAGTAACAGCTTAAGAAAAACAGGTGTCTGACAACACATTTGTTAAACCAAAAAGTTTAGTTACACATAAAAAAAAAAAAGTTCAGATAATACATGAGTTTTCACGTGCAGACAGTGGGACTCTCCTGGACTGATATCAAAGACAGTTTGCCTGCTTCTTGTTGAGGAGAGCTGACAGATTCCTCTTCCTGTCCAAAGGGAAGCTGATATTCTGATTGATTAACATCTGTGGGCTGAAAAGACGGCGTCCCGCAGGAACCATTTCCTATATGTAAAGTGATGTTGACGTTAACGTGGGGACTGTTTGTTAGGGGGCTGACAATCAGCGGGCTGGTAGGCTGAGAGGAGCCCTGTGTGCTGAGGCTGGGACGATGAGCCATAGGCTCAGTGAAGGACTGTAAGACCATTGGCTCCGACAGGACAGAGGAGGGATTGTCAATACCTAAAGTAGGTTGCAGAGGCCTGAGGGAGTCGTTCCTGCTGAAACCATCTGTCCTGATCGAAGTTTCGGTATCACTGCTGCTCAGACTTTGGTCACTGCTGACTTCTCCTTTTGCGAGCAAACACACTTGCTCTTGGGAGGTCATAGGTAGTGATGTCATTGGAGATTCCACAGAGCTGCTGCTGTGACCATTCTGCTGAAGAGACGAATGAGATTCAGTGTTTTCGTAACATACTCAGATGTCTACAGCTAGAAGGCTAATACAGCTGTTAGATTAGATTAAAAACATATACACACACACACCTTTTGATACAATTTGGATAAAAACAGGTTAAGTGGTCACACTCATTTTGTATATAATGTTTTTTTTTATTGTTTTTTTTATCAAAAGCAAATTTTAGCCTAAATCTTGCATTCTCTATATTTTCAGCATTTTCATGCAGCATTAATATGCATTTCATGAAAACTAAAACTATTTTTTCACAATATTCTAGTCTCAGACTTAAAACTCATTTTTTATCTTTAAGAAATTTGAACTTTCTGAAGTTTCTAGGGAGTGTCTAGGGACTTTAATTGGTAAACATTGATTCTTTTTCCAAGAGTAAAAATATGTTGTGACACAGTGAGCTCTTTATTTATACTTCTGGCCACAAGGTTGAAAGAGGAACTAAGTGAGTCTTGTAACTACATACAGGGAGAAGGACGGTTGAGCTCACAGTTGACTTATCATTTCCTTGTTTCTACCAAACTCATAATTTATGTTGAGGCAAAAATTCATGGATTATCTGTGAAGTTTTAAGCATGGCTTTCTCTGAAAATCCACAATCTCCTTTTTTAGAGTAGAATGAAATGATTCAATTCTTATGTCAATATTTGGTCTCTTAACAAATCCTGCCAATCTGAATTTAAAGTGTTTTTGGCTCAATTTAGATTTTTTTTTACCTTAATAGTAGATTTCTTGAAACTATACCATGAAATAAAAAAAAGTCTAAAAGGCTATAAAATTGTGTTTCTGCTCTATGTTAATAAAAGCTCAAAATTTGATTTGTAGTTTTGATCATATATCAAACATTTGTTGAAAAAATAAAACATTCCAGTGAAATGTGATTTAGGATTCAAAGGATTCAGAATAGATTTCTGAGATTTGCTGCAAATTTCATGGAATGCATGTTGGCAAAGCTTACCTTTATTGCTGTCTCACAGTTTCCATTTGCATCTACTTTATGCGGGAGATTTCCAGAGTCTGGAGAAACAGAAAAACATTGACATTCAGTGCAAAATGTACCGAAGTGAAATTGTGAACTTAACAGCTTTAGATAAAAATTTTACTGTGACTGATTTTTGTTTCATTAATAGAGATTAAAAGCAGAGGTAATGTAGGTAGAGTTGCAGCTCTTTCTAAAATAATGGTTCATTGATACACTTGGTTTAAGATGAAGTTACCTTTAGTCCACTTTCTTTTGCAAAGGGTCAGGAGGCAGATGACAAAAATAAGAAGCAGAAGGATCCCAGCAGCACTAGCAATGACTGCAACTGAGCAGAGAATGGTGACACAGATCCAAATTAAGATCAAACATGATACATTAACGTACTGAAACGCTGATTGTAAGTTAGTTGGACTATAAAAGGTTTACCCATTTTACTAGTAGGTGGATCTTCAGGGCTCGTGGGTCTCACGGTTAAGATAGGCTTCACAGTCTGAGTGGACTCCTTTGGGCCAGGTGGCGTTGTGGAGGTTTTGTTTACAGTAACTACGGTTGAAACTGTAATTGTACTAGGGCTTGAACATGGATTGGTGGGGCACTTTTCACACACTCTATCAGAGTTACGTGTACCTGATGAGAAAACACAAACATAGTATTTGCAAAAGACCTCACCAAAAGATTAGATAGTAAAGCACACATTTGGACTTCTAGATAATAATTGATGTATAGAAAAACAATAAACATATAAACAGTGATATTTGAATGAGTTAATTTACCTTCTACAGAAACTCTCTCACCAGGTTTGCAAAGTTTATATCCTTTACAATCTGTGCAGTAAGGGTCATCAAACCCTAAATAACAGAATGTTCCAGTCTTGCAAACACACTTGGAGTTTCTGGTAGATGTGCAAGTCTGGGCATACTCAAGACCCTTTTCTGGTTAAAAAGAGGAGATAATGACCATAAACAGTTATTAGGAAGTAAAGTTAGGATATAGATAAAAGAATCAGGGACTGCAACATAAATGAACAGCGCATCAACTAACTTGATTTGCATTTAGTGCAGGATAAACAGTTTGGAGAGTAGTTCCAGTCCTCGATATATTGCTCAAGCCCACATGGTTCACACTGAGTGTCAGCGGTTTCAGTGCACTCCTGTTTCATCCGATGCCCTGCGAATGAAAAGATTCAGTTACTGAACAAAGAAAATAATAACAGGGATGGTAAATAATTTCCAGAGAATACAAAGTAATTATATCAATTCTATACTTGGCTGCAATATTTCTGATGGTAACAGGTAGGGCTGGGCCATATGGCCAAGTCTAACCTCACCATATTATTCTTAATTTCAGACAGGATCATGTAATAATGATATAGATATATATGCAAAATATAAGCTCAGAAAGACTGCCAAGAATGCAGCCGTCAAAGGAACAATTTACAAACGTAGGGAAGATATTTTTAACAAGTTTATAAAATCCTCCAATATAAAATTTGAGAAATCCATCCATCCATCCATCCATCCATCCATCCATCCATCCATCCATCCATCCATCCATCCATCCATCCATCCATCCATCCATCCATCCTGCTTACTCCTTGGTCACCAGTTTGTCACAGAGCAACGCAGGAACACAGAAAGACACACAACCACTCACACTCACAACTAAGAACAATGTAGAGAAGCTAATTAACCTAACAGTCATGTTTTTGGACTGTGGGAGGAAGCCGGAGTACCCAGAGAGAACCTAAGCATGCACTGGGAGAACATTAAAAACTCCAGGTTGGGAATCAAACACAGAACCTTCTTGCTGCAAGGCAACAGCACTACCCACTGTTACTCCGTGCAGCCTATTTTACAAATATTTGTTTAACAAAAAGAAAAAAATACAAAATAAAAAAAGACAGAACTTAATTTAGCAACAAATGCTGTCATATCAACAGTAATTTGAGGTGAAATATATCGGAAATGTCATATCGCTTATACTGTACAAAATTATACCAGCATATATTGATCGTAATTTATTGCCCGACTGATTATAACAACATAGATTTAGATTTTATTATTACTGCACTAAAAACATCTGCACAACAAAATAACACTACTCTTTAAAACTATTGCAAACACTCACCTCCGATCACATTCACCTAATGTCATGCATCATATAATCTACTGCACTTGGTCCCAGATTACAAAAAAATGTGTTCATAAAAATACTTGAAATTTAAAACTATTTAAACTAATAATGGCACAAGAGCGAAATGAGGAAGCATGCAGACTCAGTTCTGTAATGGACCTGAGAAAACAAAACATTTTCTATTCTTGAGGAATGACATTGGCGGGGCTCTGCAGCGCCTGCCAGAAATGAGAATGTAGATGATGCTGTAACTGCCCTCGCCATGCAATTTAAAGACTGGTGTTCCCCTTGTATCAGCTCTTGTGCAGTTTGTAAGAACGCCTCGAATATGAGGTTGTGTGCACGAAAAAAACCCAAAAAACTCCACATTTATTGTGTTATGCTTTGTTTTAAGTGTTTAAATGTTCAGTATTTAGCAGGCTACCTGCTAAGCCGATGCTAAGAGGCTATGAAGCATGATGATTTAGGATTAACATCAATCGTGTAAAATAAGGAATCATCCTTTTTTGAACCAGTTTCAAGATGGTTAGGGCATTATTTAACTGATATAGAATCAGTCTCAATGGCAGCTTACATTCACTGTCAGCTTTACTGGTGTTCCCCTTGTATCAGCTCTTGGGCTTTTTCTCAGTTATTGTTCTGATCACCAGCTTGATCAACAGAGAGAGGCTCAGAGTGGAGCCCTTTCTCCCCCCACATCAAGAAGATTCCGAGGTGGCTTGGACAGACGCCTCTGAATGGCTGCTGCGGGAGGTGTTCCAGGCATGTCCCACCAGGAGGAGGCTCACCGGGGTGACCCAGGAAACAATGGATAGACTGTCTCTCATCTGGCCTGGTAGTGCCTCAGACTTCCCCAGCAGAGCTGGAGGAAGTGTTTGCAGAGAGGGAAAGCTGGCACTGCTAAACTGCTGCCCCCATGACCCGGTCAGCCAAGTAAGAACACCACTAAGGTGAGCTTAAGATGGATGTTAAGATCTTATGGTGGACGTTAAGATCTTATGGTGGATGTTAAGATCTTAAGATGGATGTTAAGATCTTAAGATGGGTGTTAAGATCTTATGGTAGATGTTAAGATCTTAAGATGGGTGTTAAGATCTTAAGGTGGATGTTAAGATCTTATGGTGGATGTTAAGATCTTAAGGTGGATGTTAAGATCTTAAGGTGGATGTTAAGATCTTATGGTGGATGTCAAGATCTTAAGATGGATGTTAAGATCTTAAGATGGGTGTTAAGATCTTAGGATGGGTGTTAAGATCTTAGGATGGGTGTTAAGATCTTAGGATGGGTGTTAAGATCTTAAGATGGGTGTTAAGATCTTAAGATGGGTGTTAAGATCTTAGGATGGGTGTTAAGATCTTAAGATGGGTGTTA